AATTTATCTTGAATGTACTAAAGTAATTGGTATACGGCAAATAGATCATAGTTATTTTAACAATATGACATTTTAAATACTAAAACTAAAATCTTAATGCATTTTATGTAAAAAAACAACTATTATTTGACATTTTTTGTAGTTTATTTTAATTATTAAATTGAAAGGGTAACAAAGTAAACAAGTTTCAGTATTTTTTATCCAAATTAAGCCCTAAAAATTTAATGCATTTTATAATTTTGCTTTTTTCTACCTTAAATTTATTAAATCGTATCAAATATCAAATTGGATTATAGTATTATTGTGCTTAATCCTCATCATCGTCGTACATCTTTTGCTGCTATACCCATAGATATCTACCAATGGTCTAGATTTGCAATTACTTGGTGAAATCGTTCTCCATGTTCATCAGTTCGGCAAATTTATCAGGAAGAAAAAAAAGAAAATGTATTTTAAATGACATATTAACGCTAATTCTTTGCAAAATGACAAGCATTTTTTTAATGAATTGGCGCCAATTTTAGGCCCGATATGAACCTAGAACATTTTTAATGACAGCTTTAACACTGCCATATATGCGACAAGCTCGTCAACTTTGAGAGCGTTTTGAATGCTTGATCTTTCATTAAACGTCGTATATCAGGTCCATTTAATATTCCTGCAAAATTAAAGTAGTAGGTATATCTCATAAAATTTTGTAATGAAAAATTGCGTTGGTTTTTCTTGGGCGTAAAGGTACCGCAACAAAAACAAAACAAATTTACAACGACGACATAAATGTTCGTCTCCTTTCTCTTTCTCTGCTACTTCCATTACCACTTCCATTTCCTGCTCTTTTTTTATTTTTGGTTCTTAAAATCACTTTCAAGTAAAAATACAATTTAAAGTTTAAATTTTAAATGTCAATAATTATTAGATTTACTTTAGTGTGCTTGAACGATAAAGTAGATAAAGGCACCTTTATACTTCAATTCGATATTAAATTTTAATAAGACTTAATAAATAAGATTCGAGACTAAATTTTTGGGTACTTTAGGCATGAATAAAAACATTATAGTTTTAGTTTTGGTATTTAATAAAGCACGTCTCTGCAGAAAAATGCTTTATTAAATATACTACTATAGTATACGGCTACAATGGAACAAAAAAATTCTATTTGACATTTATTGACTTTGTATGGAGTCCCTGTATATTTTTGACAAAAAACGTCAAAAATGTACTGAACATCCAAAATAGATTTAAGGCAAAATAATTTAATAAATTCAAAATATTAACAAAAAACCTACATTTTGAGATAATTGGGCAGAGCATTTTATTACGCAATTATTTCGAATCCTAGACGTCCTGGAGCAAAACGAGTGGCATTTTTGAAATCAGCAGCCCAAAATTAGGTAATATAGGTGGGCGTACTCAATGTTAGTAAATCGAACTATCATAGTGTAATTAATTATTGCCAAACTTAAATTCTACGGCTTTGACCCAAACTCGTTTATTTTTTTTGAATCTTAGGAAGATCTCAAATACCAAAATTATTCAAACTAATGCTCTATAACATCTGGTGTGCCCCAAGGTTCTGTTTTGGGTCCAATTTTATTTCTTATACAGGGTGTTTCAGAATAAGATGCTGAAACTTAAGGGTGTGAATCCTTAGTTGATTTTAAGAAAAAAAGTTTAAATAAACCTATGACCTAAACCTCTTAATTTTTGAGTTACAGGGTGTTAAAGTTTTAAGAAAAAAATCGTTTTTTTATCAGATATTTTTATAAAATTTGGCACACGCCTTCTAAGCATTAACAGTAAGTTTTTGATGTAGAAGATTTTTTATTTTTTTTACCAGTGGCGTCCGTACAGGATGTGGTCTAGATATTTTTGAAAAAAATATTATGCACGCCACTGCTATTTTTCAAAATAAAAATTATTTTTTAAATCCCCAATCATTTTAGGGCAAATTTGATTTCTTGACCATTTTTTGTACGACTAACGGTTTTCGATGAAAAAAATAAAAAGCATTTAATGCGCATATTGAGAAAAAAATGCCATGATTAAATAAATATTAAAATTAAATTTAATTATAAAATAATTTTAAAAGAACTAACATTAAATAACGTAAACAAAAACAAAAATAATTTAGATTAGCTGTTGAAAGTGGCCACCACCTGCAAGTATGCATGCTTCAGCTCTTCTCCTCATTGAGTTTCGTACCCTTAGAAAAATTCCTAGAGTATTTCTGATAGTGTCGCAACAAACTATTATGCGCCGCATAATATGCGGTTTCTCAACTCCTCCTCAGTATTTATTGGGGTGCTGTAAACCAACGCCTTAAGATGTCCGCATAGGAAAAAATCTAGACTGTTTAGGTCAGGCGATCTTGGTGGCCACGATTGTGTTCCTCCGCGCCCTATCCAGCGATTTCTATAATGTTGATTTAAAAATTCCCGTGCCTGGAGACTGAAATGGGGAGGTGCACTATCGTGCATAAACCACATATGAAGCCGGGTAAAAGCAGGGACGTCGTCTAGCAAATTTGGTAAACTCTGTTCAAGAAACTGGCGATAACTATTTCCGTTCAATCTGCCTGGTAGAAAATAAGGTCCAAGTAAATAATACCCAATAATTCCAGCCCATACGTTTACAGAAAATTGTTTTTGGTAGTTGGATTCCGTGATGGCATGCGGGTCCTTCACTATTACAAAGTCCCGTCCGTTACGCTTTAAATTATTAGTTTTTAAGGAATTAAACAGTCAATCACGATACCTAATTTTGCCAAATAAAACCTTGTTAAACAGCTTTAGTTTAGAACTATTTATAAAAATTTGACATTGGTAATATAATAGAACAATATTATTTTGTAAATAAAAACACGGCAACTGTCCTATCCGTTACGCGTAGAATGGCCCCATTGTACTTACGTTTAAAAGGTGTTACGTTTTTAAATTTTAAGTAAAAAGCCGTGTACTTAAATATCTGTCAACTGTTAAAAATTATTTATTTTGTCATTCCTGTTTCCTTAACAACAAAGTTTATATATAGCCTCCTTTTCAGAAATTATAGGCACATGGCAATATGCGGATTAAATGCTTTTTATTTTTTTCATCGAAAACCGTTAGTCGTACGAAAAATGGTCAAGAAATCAAATTTGCCCTAAAATGAATGGAGATTTAAAAAATAATTTTTATTTTGAAAAATAGCAGTGGCGTGCATATTTTTCCAAAAATATCTAGACCATATCCTGTACAGACGCCACTGGTCAAAAAAATAAAAAATCTCCTACATCAAAAACTTACTTTTAATGCTTAGAAAGCGTATGCCAAATTTTATAAAAATATCTACGAAGTTATTAAAGTTATGATAAAAAAACGATTTTTTTCTTAAAACTTTAACACCCTGTAACTTAAAAATTAAGAGATTTAGGTCATAGGTTTATTTGAACTTTTTTTCTTAAAATCAACAAAGGATTCACAACCTTAAGGTTCAGCATCTTATTCTGAAACACCCTGTATATACGTCAATGACATGTTTGATAGTATAGTTTTCCAAGGTTCAAGGTTTTGCCGATGATACTCAGCTGCTTTACTCTTTTTCTCCAAAATATATCCAGAAAGCTTGCAATAACTTAAACTATGATTTAAATGCTACTTCTAAATATGAAAATAATCTTAAACTCAATCCCTCTAAATGTTACCTGATTTGCATTACTTCGAAAATAAATATATTTATAGATTTAATTAAAGCCAACTTAAAATTTTTTATAAACAGCCAGTCATTACCCACTCAAAGTTGTGTAAAAAATTAAGGAATAATATTTGATGAAAACCTTAGATTTGCCAACCAAGTATCTCAATTAGTAAAAAGGTCATAAAATATATTAAAAACATTTTGCTCAAATATCAGCAACATAAATTATAAATTGCGAAAAAAATTATGCGAAACGCTAATATTGCCCACCTTACCCTACTGTATTATTTGTTATTTACCATGTTTAGATCAACTTTCTTTAAATCCTCTACAAAAAATTCAAACTAAATGTTGTAGGTTTATTTTTGGACTGAAAAGATGCGATCACGTTTCTTCCAATTGAAAGACCTAGGTTGGTTAAAACTTGATAAGCAATACAATCTTTATCTTGTTGTATGTTTACAGAGTATTGTTACTTAATACTCCAAATTATTTAATAGAAAAACTTCGAAACGAATTGCATAGTGTCAACCTTAGGTGTGTTTGAAAATTGAATTTGCCTCATTTTAATTCTGCCATGTTTACGATCTTTCAGTTATAATGCAGTTGTTTTTAATAATATAGATGACCAAATTAAACTTTCAAATTATTCTGTGCCTGAATTTAAAAAAAAAACTTAAGATTATTGATTTTGTGTTGGGTTAAGTAGAGTAGCCTTTGCTAGACTTCGCCCAACAATGTATGTAAACTTATTTACTAAATAAAGACTTTTTATTATTATAACCTTGCCGATCGTCAGCGCCAGGCTTCGATGTATTTGATGTATTGAGAGAAAAGGATTAAATTTTAAAAACCTGACGTAAATTTTTAATTATATATAAATGTTACTGTTTTAATTATAAAGAAATAAAGGTCTTTATCACTTAAAATTACGCATTTATTTACTAATAGAGCAATGATATGCAGCTTGAATATAATACAAACTTATATATGATGCCTTGTTTAATCCTTTAAAAATTACTTTTTAATTAAAATATGGTGTTTACAATGGATAGGTTTCTTTAATATTATATCCACTAAATAATGAATAATTATATAAGTTAACTATAATTATCCAATATACTTTTAAAAATAAAATTAACAAATGAATGTAAGATAATAATATTTAGTAAATTTAAGGGGGTTACAGCCGAGTATGACAAAGTATGAAAAATTATTTAATTTTATAAAACAAAAAAAACTTCTTAAAATTGGTAGCACTTAAGCTGTGACCCCATTGTGGTTACGTATTACAGGGCTTATTATTTTAGTTGTAAATCACTTACCTTGCATGGACGCCATCGGCAATATGCTGAACAAGATCTCCAATAATTTCATGTTTAATATAGTACAGCATGCGTACTCTTAATAGGACCCTAAAAGGAATTAACTAATTAAAATAGATTTAAAAGCAAATATAAAACTTTGCTTGTGATATTTTGTTCAGTTAGTTTGAGAAAAGTTTAATTTCATAAAATACCTACGTATTTTCTAAATTAGCATGATATTCATCATAAAATTAAAACTGTTTTTTTTTGCAGTTAAAACTATGTATGTACTTACTTATTTGCATGGCGTCCTAGATGTTTCTTGTAATTATTTTCAAGGAATATATCACCATCAAATTTTTCACTTTTGCTCCAATGATTAGGATCAGTTAAGGCGGCATGTCTTCTATCATCCTTGCCCTTTTTCTTATTTTTATTTCGAATTCCTCTTGGAACTGGATCTTTTAGTCCATGATGATTTCTTGATATTTTTTGCTCTCCGTTTTCCGAAGGTGCAATTAAATCCCATATAAAACTTCTAATTTTTTCGTCGCCTCGGTAAAATCTTAGGCAGTATAACAGCTATAAAAAATATTAAGTTAATGTAAAGCAATATAAATTAAAAATATACACTTACAATAACTCTGGCGCAATCTTCAACGTCTTGCTCTCTCCACCCTTTTCTTAACTGTGAGTGTTGTAAAATTTCATTCCATCTTCCCCAACCAAAAGTAAGAAGTCCCCTTTCAATCATGAAACACTCCCTTCTTGCCCAACTACCATAAACAATTTCACCCCTTTCTCCTTCTCTGGGAAAATATTCATCGCGATATTTCTTTTTCTTTAATTTATTTCTTCTGCTACCGCGTAATGTTAATCCTGAACCATCTCCATCCACATCAGAATCTGAAGTGGATTCCAACTCTGACATATCAATTGCGCTTTCATCATGACCATACCTTTTAATTTGAGTTCTTCTTCTAGGTTCATTCATTAACAAATCCTCACTTTCGTCTTTTTCAGTGGTATCAATTTCGGCCTTCTTAGCCCATTTATTCCAAAAATCTGGATCATCAATGTTAATATCTGACCTATTGGCACTGGATGCAAAACTAGCTTTGGAAAAAGTTGAACCCTTTTCAGATTCCATTGTTATAACTTGGGTTCTTCTGGCCAAAATAACATCAATATCTTCTTCGCAAAATTTGTCTCCATCATCTTCATCCAAAAGAGCACCATATGCACCTTTCTTTAAGAGATCTTCAATTTCTTTTTTACTAAGTTGTCTATTTCCCGACTCTTTACCACCCTGAGAGGTATTCATACTTTGTAAAATAGCTTTATCCAAACCTAGTTTTAAGGATGCTTTGTCAAACATTTCTCTTTCATATGTATTCCTACACAACAAACGATAAATTTTCACCATCTTTTGTTGTCCGATGCGGTGACATCTGGCTTGAGCTTGTAAATCATTTTGTGGATTCCAATCACTGTCATATATAATAACCGTATCAGCAGCCGTCAAATTAATACCCAAGCCGCCTGCTTTTGTACAGAGAAGAAAAACAAATCTATCAGAATCTGGTCTAGAGAATCTATCTATGGCAGCCTGTCGTAAATTACCACGAATTCGGCCATCGATTCTTTCAAACGGGTATTTTCTATAAACCAGATAATCTTCTAATATATCTAAACATCTTACCATTTGACTAAAAATTAGGACTCTATGGCCATTTGCCTTTAATTTTGATAACAGTTTATCAATCAACACCATTTTACCAGATGAATGAATTAAAGCTTTATAATAGGCGTCAGGATCCTCTCCATTTGACATTTTGAAATCATATTGAATTTGATCTTCAGCCCCATTTAAAAGATATGGATGAATGCAACATTTTCTAAGTTCCATCATGGTATTCATTAAATTAGGAATATTAGCATGCGTGGTACCTTTTGATAAAAACGAAAAGTTTCTTTCCAATATACCTCTGTAATATTTTTTTTGTATGTTTGTTAATTCCACTTCAACTACAGTTTCTTCCTTTGGCGCTAAACTTTTTTCAACGTCTTCTTTTAATCGTCGCAACATCATAGGTTTCAAAATACATTGTAATTTTTGTACTTCATGTTCCGATTTAAGAGCCCCAAATTCTTGAATAAATGCATCTGAACTTGGAAATTGTAGTGGCTCCAGAAAGTTTAATAACGAAAACAATTCGTTAACATTGTTTTGTAATGGAGTACCAGATAGTAATACTCGATGTTCCAAAGTTAACTGTCTAAGGCCTTCTAAGAGTTTGCAATTTCTATTTTTAAGTCTATGTGCTTCGTCAATAACGCACAATCTCCAATTAAACCCTTTTAAGTCAGCAAAGTCCGTCACAATTATTTCAAATGTTGTAATCAATATATTAAATTTAGTTAGATCTTTTATATGATTTCCTTTATCATTTTTATAGTACATTTCATATTCTTGAATCATATTTCTACTAGAAGCAGAGCCATGATATACAATAACATTCATGTTAGTCCAACTTTCAATTTCACGTTGCCAATTTGGAATTGTTGACAAGGGAGCAATAACTAAAAAGGGTCCCCGAATACCATACTCCCATGCTGCATGAATAAATGTTAAACTTTGAATGGTTTTACCTAGACCCATCTCATCTGCTAGAATACAATTTCTATTATTGTACCATGAAAATAGTAACCAATTCAACCCTTCTAATTGATATTCTCTAAGCGTATTTCCACCTTTATAAATGGGAGATTTTTCCAACTTATTCCAGGAATCAGGAGATGGTCTTTTCTTGGGTTTCCATTTGTCTTTCGGTGGTAAACGGTTAAACTTAAGGTATTGTTGAATTTTTATTGGATCAACATCCTCTTCTAATTCCCATGTGCAATCTTCGTATTGCAATGATCTCCATTTTACTAAATAATGTTTAACAACCTCATTTGTTGAAGGTTCAACATGTTCAGAATAATCTAAAACTCTATCAACCTCTATGTAATCTGGGTTAAAATGTTCATCCTCTAGATTCTCAAAAATATTTATTTGTTGGGCTTGCTTTTGTTTAAATCGCTTTATTTTATTTCCAATACGTTTATCACCTTTATATAACTCCTCTTCTGTCTTCCATTCACAATGCAAATAGGAGAAATTTCGGTATTTTACATAAAATTCTTCAACCTCTAACATTTCTACTTGTTTCTCAGAAGCCACTTCATTTTTTACTTCATCTTTCGTAATTTCGAGTTCTGTTACTTCTTTGTCTTCCTTTATTTCTTTTTCAGACTCTTCAGTTACGTCAGATTCCTTTTCAATTTTGTCTTCATTAGCATGAGATTCGTTTTCAATCGATTTTTTCTCCTTTTCAGGAAATAATTCCTCCTTTTTAGGGAAAACCTTCTCCCTTTTTCCCATTCGAGAACTTAAAATATGCTGAACAACCATCGAGTCTTCTTCTGTAGTGTTAACGTAAACATAATTCATACCCTTAGCTTGATCACTAATAGATTCTTCATTTAAAGTTTCTTGTGGAGAGCATGGTGCTGCTAATGAAGTACTTACAGGGGGTGTTGAAGGAACAATAGATTTCCTACTTCTTGATGGTGTAATAGGTGTATCGTCATCGGAAAATCGCAACATAACGTCGTCAACATATTTCTTCCTTTGAGTGTTTCTAGCAGAACGACGTTTATTTGTTAAATCCTCCTCTGGGGGAGGTGAAGGTGGTGGGGTTGTAATAAGATCTTCACCTTCCCCATCTGATTCTGGAGCAACTCCTTTCCGTTTTCTTCCTTTCGTTAAGGTACCTCCCTTTGCTTTAGCTTTAGAAGAAATTACCTTCTTAGGAGCACCCCTTTTCTTTTGCCGTTTAGGCATTTCTTCAATTTCGGCAGGATTGGATGTTTCGTCAAAGTTATATTCGTCCTTATCTTTTTTTGATTCTTCAGTTGCTTCCGTAGGCATATCACTGGTAGTTTGCGAATCAGCTTGAAATTTTTCAGCAGGTAAATTTTCAATTGTATCATCTGTTGTTTGTATATCTTCGTTGATATCTTTATCTTTCACATTTAAAATATCAGCCTCACTGCTTTCCAGTTTATATTCATTATCGGATACGTTATCTGCCATTTCTCTAAGGTTATCCAATGATTTATTAAAAGATTCATCCGTAGCACTTTCGTCAGATTGGTCCAATTTCTTTTTTCTTACATACTTTCGTTTTGGTCTAACTTCTTTTTCTTTTGGTTCGCGTTTTTTCCTTTCCTTTCTTTCCTTGGGTTCCTTTGGGGATTTTGGTGCTTTTGGTTCTTTAGTTTTTTTAGGTTCTCTAGATTTTTTTTTCTTTTTATCATCTAGATCTCCTGTCATTGGATCTATATCTAAGTCTGTCATATCAGAAATTTCGCTAATTGGCACATTTAAACCGGTGCCAGGTGTAACAAAATCTTCGGAGACAGGGAGCTGTTGCATATTTGGCATATTCATTGGCATTCCCATCGACGTTACAGGCTGCATATGAGTGGGAGATATAACTTTTTCCCCCTTCTTTTGACGCGGTTTCCTAGGCTTTGTTCCCTTACCTCGTCCTCTACCAGTAGTGCTAGTAACTTGAGGACTATCTATCATGGGTGTTTGAAATAATGGACTTTGAAGTACACATTGCAGCCCTCCATTACATTGTTCACTAGTTTCATGTTGGCTTAATATATTTAGTTTTTCTTGAAGATGCGCGATTTTTTCTTGGTGTTCTGGAGCCGGTGGCATGCAATAAAGTTCTTGTAATTGTTGTTGCATTGCTGCTCTTTCTTGATGATGGCTTATTGGTTGTTGGTAGCCACTAATGTCTTGGCCAGGAAGCATTCCACCCATGTTAGGCATTACGCCTATACCTATGGGCATACCCGGATGAACCATAGTTGGAATACCATGTGGCCCTATACTTGGGCCTCTCATTCCACCCATCGGCATTCCATTAGGACCAGTCATTCCAGTGGTGGGGTCAAATATGGCTCCTGTCTGATTATTAGGATTCAAATTAGGCATAGTATTATGCGGTCCAAGATTAGTATTTGGAGGCATCTGCCCCAATTGAGAAATTGGTCCTACAACATTACCAGCAGATGGAGGTGCATTTGTTTGAGGAGATATATTTTGATTATTTGGTAATAACACGTTTTGAGCTATAGGACTTTGCGATTGTAGAACAGGTAAATTGGTTTGTTGTAGATTGGATAAGTTTCCCATTAAATTTTGCGTCGGTGGACTTGACAAATTATTTTGGACTGATGATATATTTTGTTGTAATAAGTTATTAGTAGATGGCATGTGCATTGGAATTGTAGCAGATTGAGACTGATTTATTGGATTTAAAGTGGATGTTTCCAGAGTTTCCAATTGAGAACTTAATGGGTTTAATTGACCACCTAATAGAGAAGAACGTGGCGACTGTGTCGAAGACATTGGTGATAAATTACTTTGATTTTGAGAAAAAGTATTACCTCCTTCTGGTGAAGCATTACCAGAGAGGCCTACTGGTTGTGAAGGCGATTGTATAGTTGGTGCAATTTGTGTTAAATGATTGCTTTCGGATTTATGAGAATCAGGTAAGGATTCTTGGGACATTGAATTTTCTTGATTAAATATTGATGACATATTTGACTGAACCAAATCATCCATTTTATTAGTTTTAGGAGTACTTGGTTGGCTAGAATAACCAGTCATGCTGGATACGCAATTAAAATCGGTAAAAGTATTCGTTGTATTAGTTTGACTTTGAGTTGGTTGTTGAGATGTGGAACTGGTATTACTTAACTCATCTATTTGCTTTACTGAGTCATTATTTGACGGAAGACTAATATCTTGAGTATTAGTAATATTATCGTCAGTCGTTGATGTTGGAGTAGGAGTGGGAGGATGAGAAGAAACTGATGGTGCTGATGTAGGTGGTAGGTTCAGTTCCATATTTGTAGTACTGGTCGGAAATTTATCCGGTATACTTGTAGTGGGTGATTGTACTGAACCAAAGTCATTTTGCGTACTAAAGGACTGTAACGCATGATTCGTTTCCCTATTAGTTCCTAAATCAGTTAAACCTAAATTACTGCTTGGCGGTTGCTTATTTCCCAAATCAGTTCGCAAATCTTCATTTCCAAATCCAACGCCTAAGGAGGGTGCGATTGGCATTTGCGAATTAGGTGGAATACCTGATGATTGTATATTTTGAGTGGGTGGAATTGTTTGGCTAGACGGTATTTGACTTTGATCCAGCATACCCATATTTCCATTTAAGCCGATTACATGAGTTGACTGTTGTCGTGATTGAGTTGGAGGCCATTGTTGCTCAGGAATCGGATTTCTCATTGGAGAAAGCGGGTTTTGAGGTGGACCCTGTGGTGGACCAAGAGAACTTCTCGATTGATAAGTAGGATAATCTGTCGCATTCGTGCTTGTCGGTGGCATTACCATCTGCTCTAATGCTTGAAGAGTACTCTGCTGAGAGTAAGGTGGCATTGACTGAACAGGCGAGGCATTAGCTTTAGGTGTAAGACTTGTGGCGGGTCTTGGACTTAAATTTGTAGATTGTTGCATTTGAGGATGCGGCGACATATTTGGCTTAGCCGGAGACATTACTGGTCTCGGAGACATTTGAGGTGCTGGTAGCCGGGGAGACATTTGTGGCCGTGGAGACATTTGAGGAGACAATTGAGGAAAAGGTGCTCTATACTGAGGACTTGCATTACCCATAGGACCTGGTCCATGTTTTTGAGCAAATTGTTGAGTCGGTGCTTGTACATCCATTGGTCTTTGCATTGACTGCATACCTGGATGGCCTTGATTATAAGCCGGGTGCCCCATGGAATTTTGCGGGTTTTGTGGCTGTTGAGGAGCTTGATGGGGTTGATTTGGATGCCCAACGGAGTGCGGCGTTTGGCCCATGTGTGAGGCATTTCCGTGAGTGGGTTGATGTCCTGGCAAACCTTGTCCATGAGACATCTGAGTATATTGTTGATTTTGCATATCCATCTGATGATGTGATTGATATTGATGGTGATGTGGCATTCTTTGATGCATATAATTTGGATAGCTTTGGTTTGCCGGCGCCTGAGTAGGATATCCAGTTCCTTGAGGATAATGTGGAGTGTGCCTTTGCTGCATTTGGTATCCAGCTTGATGAGAATGTTGCATCATGGGATGCTGACTGGGCGGAAATTGTTTTTGTTCTTGCTGGTGTGTGGGATATCCAGCCATCGGCTGCTGACCATATCTGTGTCCCCCCATTTGGCCATACCTATGCATTGGATAGCCAGTAGTTGCAGGATGTTGACCCCAGCCAGCAGCCGCCTGCATGTTGGCTGTGGCATCTCCCAGTCCCCCACCAACCTGCCCTACATCGGGCATTGAGTACATGTTATCATTGGCGGTTTGATATGGGTATTGACCGGCGGCAGATGGTGCAGGGGGTCTTGCCATTTGTCTTTGATGCGAATAAGCACCCCCTGGAGGGCCCATTGGTCGTTCCGCCGGATTTCCATAACCTCCATATATTTGTTGTGGATCCATGTGGTTGAATTGATCGCCCTGCGAAGGCCCTGTTGTCTGACCAAACGAAGCCAGTTTCTGCAATGGCGTCTCCTGTTGCTGAATGCTGGGATAGCCTGTAGATTGTTGTTGTGCATAGGCCGACGAAGCATTTCTAGATCCAGTCACCGCAGGGTGTGTTCCACTGTTACCTGACTGTGGAGCTCCAAGATCGGATAAACCATCCAACATACCACTTCCATCTTCTCCGAACAAGTCGTATGAATCCATTGCTTTAGGCAGCACATTTCGCCAAATATCTATTAATATCGTATACTGTTGACATTGCTCCTCATCTTTTCCTAAACCATTTCTGCGAAGATAATATATTAATTTAAACTTATATCCATGTGTTAACGTTTTTGGCAATGTGCATGCGTATACTAATATTATAATATAAATTTAATTTTTAACGACCACCCTAATATACATATTATATATTGTATATTCTTTGTTTTTATCTTTATTAAATGTCAAACTCAATTTTACTAATAAAGATTTTGTAAATATCAATAAAAATTTAACAAATGTATTTATCTACTCCTTTGTTGACGATCTGTGACTTTATGGCGGTTTAGTCACGGGCTGAAGTTAGCAACAGTGGTTTTTGGGCTTTTTAGTCACGGGCTGAAGTTAGCTTTATTATAAATTGGAAAAAAGTGAGATTAAACTCGGGTCAGAGCTGACAGATGTCAAACTTTTTAAATTTGCTTTAAATTCTGTTTTGTGTTCGTTGTAGATGAAGTATAGTATGTAACTTGTTTATAAACTTCTCTAGACACTCGTTTTTATTAAACATTCGCTCACAAGCTTCGCTTGTGCTTAATTAAACTCATAACTAAAATAGCGTTTATTAAACTTGATACATAATATGCCATTATTCAACAGATAATAGGATAGTTATATTATAAACAAAATCAGAAAAATGGATCGTTAGCAAGGATTCGTTACTCAATTTAATTCTAAGTCTATAATTTACTTAAATCATTATTGAACTCGTAAATGCAACAAAAAAATAATCTAACTATCAATTAAATGTCTACTGACTTAAATTTACCTAACGAACCAGCGACAAAATACCACATTTGTTCACTCAACCGAGTCAAATGACAAACCAGTTTGAAACTAATGGCATGTGATAGGATCCGGCAAACTCATGCCGGATCCAATCGACGTTTAATTATGCCGGATCCGCCGGATTACCGGATACGGTTTTCCGAATTGCAATCCCTAGCTGCCATCATATCCGTATCAGTATCCTTTGGTCGCCAGGGTCAGAATCCCCATGTAACGGTGTATTTATGGTTGCCTATTATATGATTTAACGTATGGATACGTTATTTTTGTATTTGGATTTGGCGATTTGGTTGGATAAAATTACTTAACCTATTATGGATCTTCATAACTCTTTTTGTTTCTTTATATTTATCTTAAAATTGTCGACAAAACATAGTATAATATTTTTGGAGGAGAGGTATCGAAAATAGCGCCCTATTCATACCACGCGGGGGTTAGTTATTTAAAGTACCAAAAAAATTACATGTTTACATTACGTTATGTTTCTGACAAGTAGTTTTTAAGGTAGTATCTCCATTTGGGGAGTTCCCATAGAATGTCTATAAAATTTAATATTTAAAAAAAATTCAATTTTTTTGGTACATTTGTTTTCATGCGCCACAGTGTATTTTGTATCTCACAAGCTCGCTCATGAGATTTCCATAAACAATAAACTATAATCACAGTATAAATAATAATAATAATAATAATAATACTGTGCTATAATAATCAAATTTGAAGCTATAAATATTAACATGGTCCTATTTTGTTTATCGAGAAATATTCTATGGGAAATCTGTTGGAAATAACACTTCTGCAGAAGTGCAACAAAAGAAGTACATAACTACTTACAATACAATTCTTTATTGATGTTAAAAACACAAATAGTTAAGCTAAATTTAAAAATCAGAACTTGTTTATCTTCTATTGTTTTTGCATGAGCATTGCATTTGCTAAAAAAATTTCAAGTACTTTTTCGACACTTTTGATCAGAACCAAATGTCTGGTTGCTATGCGAAAAATAATTGTCAATGTTGACGTTTCTAATTTTAAAATAAAAATGTCAAAAAATATTCATTTTGGTCAAAAAAATCATACAGAAATTAAATCGGCAGTTAATTCTAATTACAGAAAAAATAATTGTGAAATAGATAGCCTTGCCTAATACCACTCGTGATAAAATTTTCCCTGAAAAAATTTTAATTTACCCAAGATTTTTCCTTGGAAATTTCGCTCGTGGCATTAATTTAAAACTGCAAGTTACTGATCATTAATAGTCCTGGACATATACAGCCCGTTCAGAGAAAAACCGAATATATCTATATATACAGGGTGTTTCCTAACTACGGTACGAAATTTCAGAGGATGATTCGTTAGGTCATTTTAAGAAAAGAAGTTCCTATAAACATATGTCCGGAGTCGCTTTGTTTCAGCCAATTATTATTGAGAAAAATTGTACGCCACTGACTTTTTTGTGGTTTTTTTTTTCAGATTAAGCAACTAAAAATACAACTTATAGGTATCTCCTGTGTTTTTTTCATATCTAACTTTTTTCCAGAAAAAAAAATAAAACTACTTTAACTCATTCTAAAAACTATCCCTGAACATAAAACAAAAACCAAAAATACACAACTTAAGCAACAAAAAATACAACCTACTAGCTGACATTGATAGTATTTTCAATCATGAATAATTTTAATAACGCAGAAATGGCTGACATGCATTTTATTTATAGTTTAGCAAATGGAAATGCTGAAGAAGTACGGAGAATTTACCAGGACATACATCATAATAGAGTAATTCCATGCGCTAAAACATTTAGAACGCTACATGCGAGATTATGTGAAACTGGGAGATTTACTAAAAATACGGGTGGTGGAAGACCAGAAACCGTAACAACGCCTGAACTAAAAGAAGCTGTGTTTAATGCAATAGAAGAAGATCCTTCAAATAGTACCAGAAAGATTGCACTACAGCTTGAAGTGAGCCCAAAAACTGTTTGGAAAGTATTAAAAAGAAACATACTGTATCCATATCACATTCAGCGGGTCCAAGCTTTATTGCCTCGGGATTTTCACCCAAGGTTATTATTTTGTAGATGGTTAGTTCATATGATGGCATACAATAATACCTTTTTACCAAATATCTTATTTACGGACGAGTAAACTTTTTCACTAGATGCCATTAGAAACTTTCACAATGAACATTTTTGGGCTGACGAAAATCCCCACGTTATTAGAGAAAGTCATTTCCAGCAACAATTTTCGCTAAACGTTTGGTTAGGAATTATTGGCGACTACTTAATGGGCCCATTATTTTTACCAGCAAGATTAACAGGTGAATCATACACGGACTTTTTGCGACATCATTTACCCATTTTGTTAGAAGAAGTACCCCTAGATGTAAGAATCTACATGTGGTTTATGCACGACGGAGCTCCAGCTCATTTCAGTGTTCTTGCACGTCAGCATCTCGACGTCACGTACCCTAATTGCTAGATTGGACGTGCAAGACCTCAAAATTGGCCGGCTCGCAGTCCTGATATGAATCCTCTAGATTTCTATTTATGGGGTCATCTGAAGGCTCTTCTTTATAAAACTCCTGTGCTAGATGTTGAGGACTTAAGGAATCGGATAATTGACAATTGCAATGTCATAAGGAATACTCCAGGTATTTTTGAACGTGTCAGACGGTCAGTGACAAATCGATTGCAATCGTGTATTTTATCAGAAGGTGGACATTTTGAACATTTACTTTAAGGTTTATTTTTTATTTTTGGTTTTTGTTTTATGTTGTTCCGTGATAGTTTTTTTCTGGAAAACGAAGTTAGGCATGAAAAAAACACAAGAGACCTAAAAGTTGTATTTTTAGTTGCTTAATCTGGAAAAAAATAAAAAACCACAAAAAAGTCAGTGGCGTACATTTTTTCTCAATAATAATTGGCTTTGGTGCCCCATGAGACGCCACTGGACTTAATTTTAGTTAGTGCTGAATAAGCGTCTTATTAATTCAAATAACTGTACCAAATTTGAACCAAATCGGTTTAAGGACCTATTATATATGATATTTCAGAAAAACCTATTTTAAAAAAAAACTCCCTGTATCTCAGAAACAAAGCGACTCCGGACATATGTTTATAGGAACTTCTTTTCTTAAAATGACCTAACGAATCATCCTCTGAAATTTCGTACCGTAGTTAGGAAACACCCTGTATATGGGGCGTGGCCTCGCCTCCCTCCAACGCGCGACACAGTAGCTAGGCAAATAGCCTGCATCGCTAATGAGATTTTTTGCATTATCATCATTTAATTTTTTAAGTCCTTACCTGCTCGACCTTTCGTCATGTCGTTTATCACACAAGCTACTGTGACGCGCCTTGGAGGGAGGCGAGGCCACGCCCCATATATATATAGATATATTCGGTTTTACTCTGAACTGGCTCTATACATTATAATTATTATTATGCCACAAGACTTAGTATTCACGACCAGTGGCTTTAAGAAAATACCCATTCACCATTGGAGTCCAATGATTGGACAACATTCACGTGTGTTCACATAAATTTTTAATTTATTTTATATAAATTCTTTTCAAAGCGAAGATTATTATCCGCTAGGAATACTTTGTCTCCCTGGCCCTAGTCACATATATTTAACTACTTTTTTATATGATTATTATAATACTCATCTACCAAAGCCAAATTAATTGCATTTTTAACCAAGAATTTTGACAACTCAACTTGACTCAACTTGACAGCCGTTCAATGTAACCTACAATAATTTAAACATAACCACAATTACGTTATAATTACCGCTGTGATGGGGTTTTGGTTGGTAAATACGGAACCGAAATTGGTTGCATTGATTAAAACAAACTAAACTAATTATAAATGTCATTATACGCACGCACGCTAACGTGACGCGATTCGAAATGTTAAAGGCACGTTAGTTAGGTACGTAATAATAATAATCCGTTTTTGTTCCCCAAGCGTTTTAAAATTGATGTCAAGCTAGATAGCTCATATGGTAGGGAGGTCGCTTAAAAAACTATGAAAAGCATAACCCTGACAGTCCCCAATTTGTACACAGAAAATATCGGAACAATATTGCCCCTGCATCGGTTGAGCAAAGGGAATGGCGAGCTGCGAGATAACTCCAAATTGTATTTTAGATTCGGGTAGGCCAAAACATCGGCCAAGGGGGTTGCTATGTTGCGTTGTAACGGACAAAAAATTTCGGGCACCATTTGACATTCACT